CACATATGTGTCCAGAAGCTGCAAACTTCCATGTTTTGTATACTGTGACAGATGATCATTGCTTTAAAATAATAATGTCCCATAGTTATGCTGGGTTTCTGCCGAAGAACACTTTGCCTTCCATTTTCTGACAGCACTGCACTCACCATTTTATGAGACAGGATTGGTGCTGTAGTTTCCAGATGACAAATGAGGAGACAGAGGCTCAGGAAGGTTGTGTTGCTGCATGACCTGCAGCCAAGAGGCCAGAGAGAAATCCCACAGCTCCAGAGTCCGATCTCTGCTCCAGCCCCTGAGGCAATGCAAGAGTAAATTGCTTCAATCAGATGGTTGTTTTCTTTCCAAGGACTGTTGTGAGTCATTCAAATTTCACTGTAAATTTATAAACTTACCTTCAGGTTCAAACTTATGTACAGATTCAGATAAGGGCTACTTGCTCAAAACCATATAAAGGATGACCTTTGAGGTGACCGCCTGTGATCTAGTGCTAATTCCGAACTGTGAGTTCTTTGAGGCTGCCAGGGAATAGCCTGGAAGAGCCTCACGAGTCCACAGAACCTGAAGTGTGGTCCGCTGTGCTCTGTGGCCACGGGAACTGCAAGCTAGCATCCCCATCACACTCATCTTCAGCTTCGTTCTGACTCTTTGTTGTAAGATATATCAGCTGGCTGGTCACCAGAGTTGTATTTCTATATCCAACCGGGGATGGAGAAAGGTGTGCAAATAGAAGAAATCATTCCGGGTAGATTTCCTAATGGATCTGTACCCGGTGAACATTTCTTCCACCCGAGCACATCCTTTATACAGCTATAGTCCTTGTATTCAGAAGGTGTGAGCGAAACAGGATCTCTTCAGACACTTAACCTTCTTGGAAGGAATGCTGGTCTTAGTGAAGGAGAAGTAGCTGGGGATACATGGGGTCGAGAAATCTAGAGGGGGCACAGAAATTCACATGCTGCACACAAAAGCCTCAGTAAGCTTGCCTGGTGCTTCCCCTGGGGGCTGAATGATGCCAATCCAAACCCACATGGCTATCCTATATGGAAAACACTGAAGTGGAGAAGGGAGGGGAGTCAGCTCCCAGGAGAGTGGAATCCAGCCTGTCCTAATGTCATTATTTCAAGAGGCCTTCAGAAATTTTAGGACTGGCTTTTGACAGAGGTACCCTGCGATCACTAGTTTTTATTCAAAATGCTCGCATGTAGGTAGCTGGGGAAAACTCTGCACATGATGTCAGTGTGAAGGGCCTATAATGGAGGTGTCTGGGTTCTGGAAGGCCATCCTGTGCCTCGACCTTGCCTTGATTTCCCTGGCCCTAGTTTGTCACTAATCGGTGCTGGCAGACGGGGCCTGGGTATGATCGTTATCAGCACAAAGGCTGATTCCTCATTTTAAATGAGTCTCCGCCACTGCCCTATTTCCTAATCACACAAAGGAAAGACAAAATAAAGAGATAAAAGGATGACTCCACTTTACCTTTCCAGAATGTGTCTAGCAGAACAGATCCCCACCACAGCGCTGGCTGGGCCACATAGGCGAGCCGTTGTCCAAGGTGAACTGTGTTACACACCGTGAGTCCCTCCCATCCAATGGGGGGCACTCTGCGATTGATTTGCACTTAGAAAACTAAATCTGAGATGACTGAAGGTCATGTCAATTCAATTTCATCTCCTTGGCTTCTGAGAAATATCCACAGGTGGAGAAGAAAGTGGTTTCTTGGTAGACAGGTCAGAAACCACGCCTGCTGGCTGGGCTATTTTGTGGTGGGCAGCTACTTCCCTGGGAGTCCTCTGGGGACCGTGGTGCACACATGCATGGGGCCTGAGGTGTGCAGGAGGGAGAGGACCGAGAAGCCTGCCACCTCCTGTCTCTTCATGGACCTTAGTCCAGCACAGCATGGCAAGTCCATCCCAATGGCCCGGACTGTGCCTGAAGAAGCTGCAGGAGTTGGAGGGGAAGAGCAGCACCTTTCACAGTTCACATCACACCCCATGCTGGCCTTGCTTTGTCCCACCTGCACTGATCTTCGTCCACACACTTCCTTCATGGCACTCCTGCCCTGGGTCTTTGTAGCTTCCACCAGCTGCTTTTCTCCTGCTCCTTCAGCCAGACCACACCACCCAGGTGTGTGGACTCCCAGCTTCTACCTTTCGGGTTGCCAGCATGCACCCAGTGTTCGTGGCACGTTCTGCCAACAGAGTCACAGCAAATGAGTGGCCAGCCTTCCTCTCTAGGGTTCCTTGCTGTGGCCCAAATGTCTGTGTCTGCCCCACATTTTCATGTTAAAATTCTACCCCCTAATGTGATGTTGTAAGGAAATGACAAGCTCCCGAGGGAAAATGTCCTTGTCAAAGAAGCCCCAGAGAGTTGTGTTGCCCCTGCCATCCTGTGAGGACCAGCAAGAAGGAGCTATCTTCGAAGCAGGAAACGGGCCCTCACCAGATACAGAACTGGCCGCCATCTTGGTCTCGGGCTTCTCAGGCTCCAGGACTCTGAGAGATACACCTCTGCTGTTTACAAGCTGCCCAGTTCATAGTATTGTGCTTAGCAGTTCAGGTGACTCAGACACTCAAGGTAATCAAAAACAAATGTGCCCTTCTGATCTCTTGAGAGCTGAGCGGTACACCCAGAAGACAGAATAGGAAGCGCTAGCGAGTGGAAAGCTCATTTGTAAGAAGAACTAGCTGTGTGACTCACATTGTATAAGGCGTAATGGGCTGATCTGCATATTTCCATCCATAAATGTAGGACTGCAGGAATGGAAACAAGTCCCCCAGCGTGTTTCACCTTCGCCACTTCAGAACTGCTCACCGGAGACACTGAGGCAGGGGTAAGCCGGTGAAGAAGAAGTCATCTTGGTCTACTCCAATGCAGCCACTGGACATTCTTAGCCAATGGAAGCTTCTGGCCTTATTCACTTGCATTCTGCTTGGGTCAAATACAGCACCAGGTGCTTGGGGATTGCACCCTCTTTCAGAGAGGTGTCCTGACTTGTGGAGGAGAGAGAAGAGGAGTAAACAGAACATCACAATTCACTGTGGACCGCGCTGCTCAGAGAACACGAACACTTATAATGAACTTGGTTTGTATCCCACCAGGCCTCCTTTCCAATGTGGTAGAAAGGAAAGAAAGGAAAATCTGCTGCCCTTCTCTCCCTTCTCCATGAGAAGGCCTCCTAGAGTGAGCAGGAACTTTTGTATCACCATCCAGAGCATGCAAAGCCAATGATTTGTGATAATAACAGGTATATCAGAGGTGGGGTGCTTGGGGAATTTTGAAGAGCTGATGCTGAAGAAAAATAAAAACAAAGTAATTTTTCCATTCTGAAGAAAACTGAGTGTGAGGACTAAGTCGAGGTACATTTTGTTGGTCGCAAAGAGTCTTTCTACTCCGTTTCTTCGTGTGAGTTTCTAACAGTCCCTAAGAGAATCTGAAGGAGAAATGTGGAATGATTGTTTTACAACAAAATTATTTATAGGCTGAGTTGTGTGTATGTGTGTGTGTGCACACATGTGTGGTAAGCAAAGGCTGAGAGGGGAACTGTTCTTCCCAGTTGGACAAACCCATCTATCCAGCTCTACCTGGTGTGTCTACATGATGCACAGCACCGAGGGCTGCCTTGTCCCTGTGCTAGCCAGTCTGTGGCCTGCATTCTCCTTGTGTACCTACCCTTTCTTTGGTCATCTTGGCTTGGTTCTTTTGCCTCAGTCAAGGGTATTCTCATACCTCCATCAGAGCAGGAATTCCCTTGCTTTACAATTTCCAGGTGTCTCTGTCAGCCCCGATCATGGCCAGACACATGGTGACAGTGGGACTGTCACCAGCACAGGCTCTGTCCACCCTGCGGACTCAAATGCTGACGCCCGGCTGGCTACCGAATCAGCTATACAACTTCCTGCAAGTTACCTGACAACGTAAGCTCAATTTCCTTCTCTATAAAACAGCGAAAATAATATTACCTGTCACACAAAGTGCTTAGTTCTGCAGATAAAATGAGAGAGGGTCTACGTGCAGAGCTGAGAGTCTGCTAGGTGGACCTATGCCTTCACGTTGTGCATTAGCAACGCTTATTCTTGCCGCTTAAGAAGCGTGAATATTTATAGGCTCCGGTGTTAAAACTTTAAAATTCTCCTGGCCATAGTAGAAAGCAAAGGTCAAAGGCAGCCAGAGCATAATTCATAAACTTTTAACATGATCGAGTCGAAGGGTCCAAGCTTCATCTCGACCGTTATCTTCAGTGCATCGCTCAGTCTAATTTCTCATCTGCCTGAAAGCATTCCAGAGCTGCTCTGGATTGATCTCACAAATTGCTTTTGGGAAATGGGTCCCCAGGTCCTGTTCCTCATCTCTGCCTTCCATCAGCCTAAGAGCGAGACGGCCCCTCTGGAGCCGAAGACCCTGAACGCAGGCCAACCGCCTGCGAGGTCCAGCCGGGTGGTAGTAGGTGCGCCAGCCCTGCTGCAAAGAACTGTAGGGGTGCACACAGAGGCCAGGAGCTTCACGGAGAGATCCCCTTCCCTCTCCTTGCCTCCACCCCAGGTAAAAGGATTCTCGAAAACAGCTCCGGACGCGTTCCCTGCAGAGTTAGGCCCTCTAGGCCCCACGCCAAGTTTTTATTTGTGCCCTCGTTTTTCCTCTTTTCTCTGATTGCAATTTGAACTTTCTTTTTCTTTCCGTTATTCAAAAAGAGTAAACAGCAGCCAAGAGCGGCTGTCCAGGAGCGGCGTTTGGGTGCGTGCGTGGGGAGTATCTATAATTCAGCCCGGGAATATTTTCCTTAATAATTAATGGAGCCCCACAAAGAAGAAGGCCCAGGAGGGTCCCCGAACAAAGCCGTGTCCGGCGAGAACGCCAGCGGTCACCCCACCGCCGGGAGAGGAGCCAGGCCCGTCGCTGGGGTGCGGGGCAGCCAGCTGTGTCGGACCCCTGGGAATGGCACCCTGTATCGCTCCCTGAGCGAGGCCCTTGCAGGACTGCCAGTGCAGTGCGAAGCCTGAGCACCGGCCTTGTCAGGGTAAGGCCGGGGTGCACAACACTGCTGGGGATGAGGGAGGTGGAGGCGGCAGCTGTGACCCGACCTCCAGGAGACACAGGAGTTGTTTCTACCTGCAGCGGCAGCTTCCCTGGGCCAGGCTTTCCAGCGCCTGGGTGCTGCACCCGCTCCACACCCCGCGCCCTGCTCCCTGCACCCCGCGCTCTGCTCCCTGCACCCAGCACAGGCCGGGGTGCACAACACTGCTGGGGATGAGGGAGGTGGAGGCGGCAGCTGTGACCCGACCTCCAGGAGACACAGGAGTTGTTTCTACCTGCAGCGGCAGCTTCCCTGGGCCAGGCTTTCCAGCGCCTGGGTGCTGCACCCGCTCCACACCCCGCGCCCTGCTCCCTGCACCCCGCGCTCTGCTCCCTGCACCCAGCACCCAGCAC